TCTGTAACTTGTTTGAAAATGAAAGTTGCTTCTTAACTACAATGTAACATCACTTGTAATCGAGTTTCTTCTCTAATTGAAATAGTAGGGTGATTTCATCCTTATTTATAGATTACAAAACATTTATCAACACTGATTTTAATTCGAGGGAAAGGAAGGGAATTTTTTAAACGGGTCAAGTGCTTTAAATATAATTTTTATTTCGCCATTACCGCGATTGCCTTTGCTTAACTAAAAACAGATGATTTGGTTATAGGGTTTAAAGTTTTAACATTCGATTTTCCCTTAGCCAGTGGTAGATTGTTTTCGATTTCAAATGCTTTCAACAAGATTTATCTAAACAGCCTTTGAATAAACAGGCACTAGCTTGTTGAAACAGAGTTCTTGAGCTCTGAGAATACGGAGAAAACCGTTTCTAATCTATGAATGTCTAGAAAGCAACGTGTATCTGGCGGCCTATTTATAGACAGAAAGGTACAATAACCTTGAGTGTTTCCTAATATCAAGATTGGAATTAATGGTATTTTTATCTTTGTGAATTAATTTGCGTAAGGAAACATGCGAAATTTTCACAAGTTTCTCGGTGGCTCTTCATCAAAATATAGTCTGTGCTTCATGCTCAGGGCCATTTTTATCTGTTACTTGAAGAATCACTGGCGACTTTCAGATCAGGGAAGAGATCTGTGTCCTGTTAAGGAAATTAAATGCTTCGTTGCACTCGAGGATATCGGCAGAAACTCGGCCCTTACAAGTAGTAAAGAGGAAAACATCGATTTATTACGTAGTAAGAATGGTTTCCAAATGAAAGATAGTAAGGAAACCGTGTGTGGAACCTGTCGGAACTATTCCGCTGTCAACAAGCGTGTGCACCTCTTAATTTCTCCCTCAAGGAAGGGAGAAGTTTTCGTAATATTAATTTGTAACATTTGTCACAATTCCAAAATCCAGGATCTCGTCACTCACAAGCTCTCAGGGACCTATAAGGACCTTAGCAATCAGCTTTTTAATCTAACGAGACTTCGTCTTTTATTTCGTCTGACCTATTTCCGGAATGTCTAGTGCAAGCTCGGAAGAAAAAAATCTCTCTTACCATACCGAGATTTTTGCAAAAGCATTCAGGCACAATGCAACTCATAGTAACTGAGAGCATTCTTTATGACATCTATCTTGGTCGAATATGTTTCGTCTTCACTGGCGACCAGTCTAAAGGTCCAATCTCTCTGAATTAATTGCTCCAATTAGTTAGTCCGTTGTTACCTGTGAAAAAGAAATACTTGTTCTCTTGAGTATGCACTTCAAACGCTGCATAAGTGAAAGTACAGCTTAGTAACAGAATATAACAGCTGGTTTTCAGGACGAGGATTCAATTTTTCAGTTGCACATTATTAGCAACCTCACCTAATTCTGCTGAATTGTTTGCTTTTTTTACTGTGGCATCTCTTTTCGGTTTTATTTGTTGCTAGGAATGTTTCAATCGGTCCCTTGTTTACAACATCGTGGAACTCGGTACTTGAAGCTGAAGGTCAAAATTAATTGATAAATCAAATTAATGTCAAAATGACTCGGTCGTGAGAAAAAAGTTGAGAGGAGTTGAGCAGATTTGACGACTGCAGCTGTTTGACTATGTTGAGAATGGTTGCAATTTAGAATTAGTTTTCACGGAAATTCTGGTGGTTCGCTCCCCAAACAGAAACACACTTTATTTTTGTTCTGTAAAAATGGTCGTCGGCTAAAATAGGAAACACTCAGAGGAAAAGGCATCGAATATAAATGAGCGATTCATTCTTTGAGCATTCAGACGCGACATTTGTCTTCTGTTCAAAGTCTTTCAACGCTGAAGTTGCAGAGCCGGTCGAGAGTGATTTAGCGCGAAGATCACTTGATGAGAAGAAAGTGACTGCGGTAGTCATTTATAGTGTGGTTCGATTTGCGAAACGATGATATGTGATTAAAATTAGCTGCTTTAGTGAGTGTGCCATTGTTGAATGAAGCATAGAAGTGTGGATCATCTCGTTATTAATATAGTAAGGAAGATGTTGTTACTGTGGCAACAGAACTTGATCAGCAGATTTAGGATTGTTCCCGCCAAAGGGCGGTTATTTCACCTCACTCGGCGCCCTTCATAAAGGGAAAACTTGTGTTCTTACATCAGACATTCAATATGGGAAAGTTCGTTGGCGAAAATGGTTTTGACGCCTTTAGTTAAACAAATATGTACAGACGGTTTTTACACTCGACTGTGAAAACAATGTCGTTATCTTTATTGGCGCGCTCAAGAGTTTTATTCCCCAGGCAAAGAGCAGAGAGTCGTGTCAGCCGCCATCAAATCCTCAAGTTCCAACTGTTTTTTTTCTACTCGGTAGCCCAATTGCAAGCTCGTAAATTTGGTCTCGCCTATAATCTAGACGAAAATAACCTAAACGGTGACCTTTAGGTTAACATGGGCGTGGAAATTTTTGTAATAGATGCAAATTTTGACGATATGCGGACAGCTATTGAACTTGTTAAAAAGATTGGCCCGATGCTTATTATTTCAAATTCTTAAAGATAATATTTATGTAAGGCCAACGTCAACTTCATGGGGCGAGATTCAGGAGAATGAATTTCACCAACAGAAGGTAAAATCAACATTGCTTTAAAAGGCTGTTCTTAACTTTGTGTGTTGAATGCGACCACCAGCGGTAAGTCTAACATAGAGGCCTTACATCAGTTCACAACAGGTTAAAACTGACCAGTTTGGTACATAACTTTATTAAGAACAGAGCGGTTGGGCCATTAAGTTGAAATAGCGCGCCAGCGGAACTAAAAAACGTTTGGTACATGTAGATATCTCATACCTCCAGATCACTTGTTGTTGTTGGTAGCAGACTGTTTGTTGCGCAGTTAGGTGAGTAGATGTAGAAATAGCGTTTGTATTGTTGCGGGTAGACGATTTTAACCGTTTTATCAAAGGCGTATCAGTTCGTACAATTCTGTGATTCGTGTGGTTATGTGGTTAAGTCGAACCAGCCACATTTACTGCGGTTCAGTTCTAAAGAACTCAGTATTTCTACGCTAGTTTCTTTAGGAGAATAATTTTGTGCACGTGCCAAATGCACAATATTATGTTCATTTGGCGGACGTGAGCTTCAGCCGGCAACTGTTCGTTTGATTTGAATTGTTTCGTCTACTAATGTTAACCAAATGTTTCGAACGTCCTTCGTCTTCGTTCACTGTGTGCGCTGGCTGCCATCCAATCGAGAGCGTGTATTAATGTTACTGTGACAAAATTTAGGAGGACAAACCTAATTTCAAACTTAACGACGGAAATGAAAATTATTCCAGATGCTCAAATTTTTTTTCATGATTCTGCGCCCTAAGCTACCATGTGTTATGCTTGTAAGAAAAGGCTCAAAGTCGAATTTTAAAAAATTGATAATTGATAATTTCTCAAAATAGAGGGTCCATGGCGTTCCTGTTTTAGTTTTCAGATGTTTTAATTCTGTCGTGTAGTCGTTTTATGAAAAGACGATATCTTTAAGTTTTGTCAGCGGCTTGCATCAGGAAATGTAGATGTGTACAATAAAGGGGCCCATATTGGTCCATATCTCGTTCTTCGGCAACAGTGAAGTAAAAGTACTTAAGACAGATTTTCTCATCATTTGTTGTGCAGTTTGTTGAGATTTTGAGAGAGTCTGAAATTAGTTTTATCCACAATGACTGCGTCTTAGGGCAAAGCAAATGTTTCCTAAGCAGATTTGGGCATTATGGAAAGCTGAAAAGGGCTTCCTTGCATAGGGTTTCTGTGCTGTTTTGGAGGCCGCGCCCTGAAACCTCTTGTTACTCATGTAAGGGATCACAATTTATCGCTTTGGAATATTAACCAACAGTATATTTAAAGTACTATTTGCTTTATATTTGTTTGAATTTATTATGGCCAATTGGAGTATCGTTGCAGAGGTACAAGAAGATGTGGAAAATATCGTTCTGTTCATACGCTAAGTTCGTTGTTTAAAAGCTATGTTGGTAGTTTATTCACCTGTCTGTCGGTGCAACAGAGTAATGTACAACCGGAATATTGGCGCACATTAACATCACTTTTAAAAGGTTGAAGGAATACGTATGTGATAAGCATTTGTAATAAAGACTGGGGAAAGTTGTAGAATGCGGTCCCACGTGATTCGCGGCTTTTATAAACATCCGGACCAATATTTTCACGAGCGAACTACTTAAGACAAAAAGGAATTCAGATTTTGAGCCGAAAAGAAAGTGAGCATTGCCGTGAATATCAAATGAATTAATTTTTCGTAGCTCAAAGGATTGCTATATTGATGAGTTCAAGGGGTTTTTGAACCAGCGCCAAGCTTTTGGAAACGTGCTCGTGAAAGTTTATCGACTGGTGCCTAATAGAATCTTTTTTACCCTGAGCTAAGCCCTTCTTGTCACGACACAGTTGATAGAAATCTTTTTCAGGGTTATTTTTCTGGTGACCATATTCTTCAACAAAGATCTTTTATTTGATAAATTTCCTTAGACGCTGAAGATAAAGAAAAGATTGATTCAAAAGCCTGTTAAATGCAACACCTGGAACACAACGCAACGCATGTTCAGCGGCAAACCTGCCAATCAACGTCGTGCTCTTGTGGTTTTCCCACGGTATTTTCCCGCGCATAGTGCTACTGATCTAACGGGTTTATCTACGGGTCCTGTGCTTTTTTCAAAGTGCTAATTAAGATTATCTGAATAGGAAGTCCTGTAACTCTTGAGAAACCAACATTTCGTTATTCTGTCATCAATAGAGCCTTTAGTATTGGTCGTGGGAAATTGAAAATTCTTCAATATGGTGACAAGCTACATTAGCGACTAATATTGGCAGGCCGCTTATGTATGGTCGAATTAAGTTTAAGTCGCTGCCTAATCGATCGAGGCAAATTTCGTGGGCTTTGCTCCAGATGAGATAGAAAAGAAGGCACCAAACGGAACTGAAAATAATACACTGTTACTGCTCAAGTAAGTCTCACTTTCGGATCTTTGTTAGTGCCCGGCTTGCTTTAAGAACCAGTTTTCTATAAGTTGTTCATGAATTTTCTGTCAACAGAACTAAGGAGTTTTGGCGCAGTCTTGAGAGAGAAAGATCTTTCTATTGTAGTTAGTTTGGATCAATTTAATCAGTTACCCATTGCTATTAAAAAAACTGAGAGGCCAAAATTATTTCACCATAGGGTAGCACGCTCTCCTCGAGTGTTCGTTTTGTTGTTAATTTTCTCGCGGTCTTTTTTCCCGCCAATTGTCTGTCACAAAACTATCAACTATGTGCAAATGACTACAGGTGGCCGTAGTTTATTGTGTCTTTTGTAGAACAATTCTCTGGGGTAATTTTTAGGAAACAAAGTTAAGTTATAATCCACAGATTTAAGATAAAGTGTGAGTTTAAGTCGGGTTTCTATCATGAATTTCATATTTTTGAATTTTATACTTGTTTTCGAAACCGAAAACACGTTGTGTACGTAAGTTTAACGAAAGCGAAAATATTGTAACTTCGAGATGTCGCCTTTCGGTACATAGATTTGCGAGACTACTGCATCTACCATTTTCCCACAGTTGGCGTGTTAGTTCGACTCAGTCAACCGTTATAAAAAGGAGTCTACTTTCAAACAAACCCTCGGCAAACTTGTTTGATTCTTTTGAAATGTCAACGTCACTAAGAGATTTACGTCAGTTTGAACAAGGAGAGTCATTGAACCCTGACGTTTTTTTTTTTTCATATTTGGTTCGACCGATATTTGCTGAGCACGTTGATACTTTTAGACGCTTTTCGTTGTCGCTTTTAACGAGCTTTTCGCTAGCTTTATTCAATGTATTTGAAATGAGTCCTGTTTGTTTGTCTTCCTTTGTGGCCATACGAAGCCATTTGAAGTCGAAGGTCCGTATGTAATTCAACTGTCAGTGTCGTCATCTCAGCCCATTTCGTTTGAAATATTAACTTATTTTCCAATGGAGTCGTCAATAAGAGGATGCTCTTTTAAATTAGGACGGCTGCGAAAGGTATGCTCACAGTAAATCTGTCAGTAGCATTTTACACTGATAGAGCGAAAGGAGTTAAGTGGGGTTTTTCAAATTTCTAAGTGTACATGTAAAGTTTTCATGTTTTTACACATTGATTATGCGGTCCGTGTTAATGTGGTGATGTGTAAAGAGGTTAAGCCAATTTCCTGTTTTTCAAAGGATATCAAAATATTGATTTTTCCCTATTCCGAGACCGCCATGGAGTTGTTATTCAAATTTTATCCATCAGGGTAGGATGATTTTTCTCGTGAAGAGGCGAATGGTTTAGATGGCTGCTTGAAAATTATATTCTGGTTGGTCATTCAAGTAAAACGAACCTTTCTGAGTATTGTTTTAATGATTTCCATTCCTCAACTACCTTCCTTTGAAAGGATTTCTATAGCGTTTATTCTTGTGGTCATAAGTGAATCACACCAATGGTATTGTATTTTTAACATGAAGACTGTAGTATGAATTAATTTTCATTTATTTTCAGTATTTTGCTTGCGTAGAATAGCCTAATTGTGCCTGTTTGCAAGGGTTCCCCTTGCTTTTTCTGCACAATGTTTGATTTATTTTTTCTCTCCGCTTCCAACAGAATTTAACGGGATTTTAAGTTGACTGAAGGAGCACGAATGGCTGAGAGGAACTTTTCTGATAGCGGCAAAGGGGACTGTGTAACAGTGTTAACGATTGAGGAAGAAGGTTCAAATTTTAAGCGGAGTGACTGCATTAAAACCGATCGTCCTCTACAGCTTGAGGAAATACAAAGTGAAACAGTACAAGTAAAAATACTCCTTCAAGACAATAAGGAAAATGACGATGCAAAAACTAATGAAATTCAAAGAACGGAACACGAAAGCTCTACTTCCGCGGAACAAGAAGAGTTAGGCAATTCAGCGGGAGGTCGTTATAACGAACAACCATGTGGAGAGAGTGCAGCGGAAATAGCTCCAATGATAGAAAAGGATAAACTGAATGAAAATACAGATCTAGAACTTACCGTAACAGCCGCCATAGAAGAAAAAGAAATTTTACTCGAAGGCGAAACCACCATTGTTAATATGGCGGACCAAGCTGAAAGCGTTTGTATCGAGATGGAAAGTACAGCGGATACAGAGGGAAAAGATACTGAAAAAAGTTGTGATAAGTCACCTTCGGACACAACAACTCTATACTTCTCTGAAAGCGACAGCGCAGAGGTTGAAAGTGATGTTTGTAGGATTTGCCACAGTAACGACGAGATTGAAATCTTAATTAGCCCCTGTCTGTGTACTGGATCTGTTAAGTTCGTACATCATTCGTGTTTAATGAGCTGGCTACAGAGAGCCGTTATGAGCAAATGTGAACTGTGTTTGTACCCGTTAGCGGTCAAACGAAAGAGGAAGCCGTTTAGCAAGGTGAGTTTGCTATTTAGGTCTCTCATTGAAATATAGGAGTATTTTTCGGGCCCTAGCGCGTTTAATTTGCCCCGTTAGCACTTTTACTGATCCCCAGCTGTGAATGCTGTGGATTCTATGTCCGTGTAAATGTGCACTCTTTGTCAAGTGTTTATTGCACAAAACCCATTTAGATGGCTGAAAATGGCTGTACACAGTTTTCGTTTTTTAAACTTAATAGTTTGTATTCAGAGCCAATCAGCTGAATCGCTTAAACAGATCAAGCTATCAGCTTCATAATTTTGAATTTCCTCGGGTTTTTTCTCGGCATCCGTAGCTTTGAGAGGAACATACACAATTCCTGCTATTCCCCTGTCAGATATGCTTCCATTTTCGAGAAAGTCTGTTTTAGCAAACGAAACAAAAAAAAATTTGCGCGCTCAAAACTCCTAACGTCCAACCAGCGACACTCAATAAGAATTCATTAAGAAACATGGTAAACAAACAGTGTGGAACGACAGGTGGTCTATAATTTAATCATGAACATCCCTCGTTTATCTGTTGTGGTTTTCAAGGTCGTTGTTGTCTTAAAGTGCAGAATATTAGGATACGTGCAGTTGATTTTGCTATGTTCATGTTCCTTGCTAGAATGTGGTCGGATCTTCCCAGAACTACATTTAGCAACCGCGTAAACAGCCTATATACCAATACAGGGTATGTTAGTATATACGCGAACAGAGGATAGCGTTGAAGACACTCTGATTGGCTAATAAAACTCTTGCTTTCCCTCCCTATTCACCTCTTAGCAACTCGTGCGGGATTTGCGCACGAAAGTAATCGTTACAGGAATAAATTAGTTAAGATCTTTTTTTTGTGCTATATTATCTCTCACTGTCTTCTTATATTCTTAAACAACCATCCACCTCAGTGTATCTGGCGTATGATGACAGTTGTTATATGTGGGTGCTAACTGAGGGGAAATTTAGATCAAATCCGGAATTTTTTTGCCCATTCGTGTGGCTTGCAATTTCTGGCTAACGCGTCATATCTTTTTCCCTTTATTAGTGGCGTCTCCCAGAAGACAAGCCTTTTCCCATACTGTGGCTGCTAACGTTTGTCATAGCTATGACGCTGAACGTGGCCTCCATAGCTAAAGACGGCAGCCAGAGGTGCGTGTCTAATCCGTGTATCATTTTCTACGTGGTGGGTTCCGCTGGAGCGCTTCTGGGACTCGCTTTCTTCTACCGCTGGCTGCGCAAGACCGTGTGCTACGTCTCCAAATGGATTGCACTCAACCAAGAATGGACGTTAGTGGGTCCACCAGACTTGAGGACTCAGATGGGGCAAACAAATCTTGCCTACTCCACAAAATCGCTTTCAGAGACTGAGACAACTCAAGAACAGATTGCGTAGTCAGTAGTGTTTCAATGTTGGAAAGACAGCACTGTGTACCGCCCTTCTTTTGCCTTGGGTACCTCGTGGTCTTCGACTTAAAACCTCTTCCACTATACGTCGTATCCCTGAAATTACCTATAAAACTTTGTTTAAATGTGATTGTTCATTATGCCCTCAATGACTTTGAAGATTGGTTTTTTTTTCAGTCTGTTACTCGTAAGTATGCCCGAAGGCATATTTTAAAAACAAAAATGAAAGAGTAGAGGAGCAGGTTCTGGAAACCTAACCAGTCTGTTTTGTACCTTTAACTGACAGTGTTAGTGTATAATTTTCAAAAGTTTTGAAACTCTCATCTTTAGTGAAAGCAGAACTACTTCTCGGGGCGTTAAGTTACCGGGACCTTTGAGAAACGGGCCCCAGGCCACTGAGAAAGACCTGGAGATTTCAAAGATCTCCTGAACCAAAATAAAGTAAATGTAGTTTAAAATTTATCGACACTCCAACTCTTTAATTTATTTTCAAACGTGAAGTTCTTCTGCTGAATTTATACAGTTCATCCACTGACGTTATAAAGCAATTTTAAGATATTAAATTATACTTAAATTATTGAAAGATCTATGAAAAATTCAAGCATGATACAAAATGAAAAATACGTTCACTATATATTTTGAAAGAGTGATAATTTCAAGAGAAGTATTACTGAAGTTTATAATTATTGTTAAAGAAGCTATATTTCAAATGTTTACGATTACTGTACATGTGTTTGGTTGAGTTTTGAATAAAATGGGAAAAGCGCAACGTTTTGACGAGGCATCATATGTTTGGTCCTTGACATTCTAACTTAAAAATGAAAGTTCTTCATACTGTTCTGTGTACATTTTCCATGGTACTTCCAGGAGGAATTTGTCTGACAATCAAGAGCTTCTTGAATTTATGACTATTTCCTTTATACTTACGACCTTGATGTTTGATTTTGAAAAGAACCATAGGGAAATTAAATGCTTTTCACCCTTAACTGAGGGGTTAATTGTTGAGTGAAGGTGATAGCGCGTCTAAAAACGCGAGGCTTAGTCCCACACTAAGCCAGGCACAAACCGTCGCCTTTTTTCCTAAAAATGACGTTTACTTAGTTCGACCTGTGACAACAGAATGAAAAATTTCCGCAGCGAAGTCTGTGCTTGGCGAAGGGTAGGGGCTTTGGCCCAAATATTTTTTACGATGGGGTCTGGAGTCCCAAGGCTAATATGAAGCCATCTTGACCTACCAAGCCTGATCAATAAAGGTGTCATTATCATAGAGAAAAAGACTTCGCTGAAATAAGAATCAAGAATGACTTGTTTATTTCCAGACTCTGGGAAGGAAAGCCAACTATTTTGGCGCGTCCTCGAGCTCGTTTATGTTTTCTTTGTTTTGAATGTCCTCTGTTGCTTTAGGAGATTCCATTGATGACATTGTCAGAAAATTACGAACTTTGTATGTCGCTCCATGCGATTTTTTACTCGCAAGGGGATCAAAGCGGACAATCCGGATGGGCTTGGGTAGCCAATCAGAACACAGGATTCGCCTCATCTTGCCCACGAGAGCTGCCAGCCATAAAATGAATTACATTAATACGCTATTATTTCGCATTTCGAGTCTTTCGGTCGATTGGTATCTTACAGTAATCCCGTCCTCTTCTTAAGTTTTCAGTGTATCGCAAAGGCCATCAATTTCTCATTGAAGTTCAGTTGCTGTACAAAACACTGGCAAATGTTAGAAAAATGCCGCGTTTTCCGTGAATTCAACTTTAGTTCTCCATACGGTAAACGCTAGTTTTTTTGCCGTGCTTCTAACAAACTTTTCCACTACATGAGGTATTTACGGTAAAAGTTCCGCACAGCCCCATACTATTGCAAAACAAATCTGTTTTCCCAATGGCAATGTATTACTTTTGTCATTGTTTTTTCTATCCACGAACTGAATGCATAACGTAGTATGGGGCTATGCGGAAATTTTACCGTATTTACACACTCAAAATATGCATCGGGCTGAAGAACTCTTCTGTTCCTCCAGGAAGTCGAGGTCCTGTGATTTGGATACGACGGGCTTTTGAATATTTATTAATCACGTTACTTCCAAAGCGACTGTACATTCGACAGGGATAATATCATCACCCATTGGTGAACCACAGAGTGGGCATGGAAACGACGAGTCAGCTAAACTGTTGGCCTGAAAAGAAACAAAAACAATGAAACTGAACGGTGGCATGTCAGTGCAACGTAACTATTTCAGTTAAGCGAGTTATTTTGATGAAGAAACCGAGAGCGATAGTCTGTTCCAATAACAATTAACACGAGACAGGAGGGAGTCAAGGACACGCAAAATGGTGCTAAGTTCGCAAATTCGGTAGATCCAGAGTCGAAGAGAATGTGGCTGGCTACTCTCCTTGAATGGAGTGCTTCTGTTTACCCTTCTTTCCCCTTTTACTTTGTCATTCAATATCTTGTCTAAAGTGAACAGAATCGCCATGACCGTGAAAGCCTTCCCCGTAACGTACAAAAACGAAAGCAGAGGAACATGGTCGACATTAGGAGCCGCTAGGCGGCGGAAACCTGCTGGGTGGCAGACCATTTTGCATCGACTACTTTTTTGCGAATTTCTATAAAAGACATAAAATAAGTACGTCCAGCTGAAGAAAGATCTTCAATTATGTCCCAGAATACTAGAAGTCACGTCTCAAAGAGTTTCCGATTTCCAACTTTTCTTCCGGGGGGGGGAGCATACTCCCACACTCTCCTCCTCGAAGGATGTGTTGCTTTACAAAACGCTATGATTGCTGCTCAAGCATACTTCACTTCAGCCACCCATTTAGTTCAGATAGATCATACACCTTTTACATTTCTAATAATAACCCTAGCACACCAATAATGGGTTGCACTTTGCGTTAGAGCGCTAACGCTGAATTAACACCCAACCCCCTTCCCTTCAAAACATTACTTGAGCCACTGGTCTGTTCAACACTTACCTTGATGCAGTAATAACAGAACACGTGACCACACAGACCTTGATGAGGAGCAGTAGGAGGTTCATTACAAATTCCACACTCGTGACATGCTACTTTGATTGATGGCTGCTTGTCAAGAGAAGCTGGACTTGAAAACCGTCTAACCAGCAAGTTCTTTAGTTTGTGGATGTTGATAAGTGGAAGAAGGAAAAACACAAATTCCTGAAAGAGAATGATCAAAATGTTTGATATTATAGCAATTAAAGTTTAAGCAAGACCATAATCACCTCCAATAAGTGCTATATAGTAATACTCACTGCAAATCCATGCCAGAGTAATTCGCGAGTCATGAAATCAAAGCTGACTTGTCGAATTGACTGTCGCTGGGCAAATACAGGATGAATTCCAAGAACACGTTCAAGAAGTGAAGGATATCTTGGCACAGTTAAGAAAGCCATAAACAGGATTAACAGAGAATCTTTTTAAAAACTTGCAGCAAACAAAAAAGTACTGCTGCAAATTGGGATCTTGCACATGACAACAAAAAGACAACAACAGCAAGAGGTAGTTTTTGCACATAAAAAGGAGGGTTGTCCTCCTCCCTCATCCATCAGAGCCTCCTTACAGTTTGACTAGCTGTATTCATTGTTAAAACACATCTGGAGATGGCAGGACAATTAAAGGTAAGTTCTCCTCCAAGGGAAAGTAAATTTGTCTAGTTCAAGACTCATGCTAACAATTTTACTTTTGAATGAAACTGTTTTAAAGGATACTTTCCCTTTTGTAAAAAAATGAGGAAGTTAAGGACAGAAGCAAACTGAAACAGTTTTTCACCTACATGAACATATCTCCAAATCTACAGGATAAAAAGACATTTCAAACCGTTAAGAGCAAGACACAAATCACACCTCTCCTGTACATAATAATGACTTAACCCTTTAACTCCTATGATCTGATTGTTAATTCTCCCCTCTTGCTGGTGCACATTCCGTTATAAATTTGTTAGGAGAAATTTGGTGTTAGATCAAGATTTCAATTTCTACCTGATAAATTTGAGTATTCTCATCACTCATACGCTGGATAATGTATGAATATTATGGGGAAAAGTTACATGTTAATCACCCCTGAAAGTTGAAGGGTTAACTTACTGGTCTGTGATTAACACTTGAAGCATCTACTAACCCCCCCCCTCCTTACTGTATTTACACATGTGTGTGTTAAAGTTCTTGCCTGATACTAATGGTGAGTATAGATCAGCATGACAAGACATCAGTCCATGTGAGAACTTCTTTTTTTATACACAATCATGTTTTAAAACCAACTGAAAAGATGACAGAACTAAAAGGAAGGTCTTAAATAAATTCAGTTAGACAACTAGATTCTCTCTCCTAATTCACTTGTGTTCCCTTAAGGGAGAAATTGATGCTGCATCAATTACAGCTTTACTCTGTGCAAATCCCTCTCACCCCACTCTCTGTCAATGTAAGGTACCATGCATTGTAGAAGCCTACACCATCTCAATGCAGGCCAATGTTACTTCGGTACTGCTATATTACAAGATACAAACCAACAAGTACTCACAGAGTTTAAGTCCAAAATTCTGTCTGTAATTCCTTTTATGTCAATGCTTCTTTCTCTTATATAGGGTATTCCAACAATGCAAAAACCAAACAAAAGCTTTTGTAATAGACTCACAGTGCTCCCTGTTGAGATATGCCATTTAAATAAAGAAAAAACCTTAAAATGCCTCTTATGGTACTCTGTCCACATCATTAATACACCAAAGAACTAAACAAATTGAAATTATTACTGACAGCAATTGTACACACAGAAGAAGTTTTTAATTTACTGTATTCCAGTGCTAGTCCTGTGGTTGTCATTAAGTGTGAGATTCAACAAAGGTTTTTCTTTTCCTACATCCTCTCTAAATTGAAAGGTAATTACTGGTAATTAGTCTCTCAGGATGTGACATGCAATTTTACTTGATAAGCTGAATTATTTGTGCATTTTGATTGGTTTTTACTTATGATCTACTGGATGACAGATGCATAAATGACATCACCATCAGCAACATTTTGCTTTTTCATCATATTAAACAAAGTAATACATTCAGCCATGTTGCTATGGGGTTGGGCAGTAAGACATGATAATAGATCATAGAGGAACATAAGAACACACCCAGCTGTGCCTTCTGTTCCTTTTTTGTTGGTTTTTACAACATTTTAAAATCATCAGAGTCTACAAGTTGAAAAGAGTAAAAATTGATGGTATAGATAAGCAGTATTAAATGGAGAAGGGGGGGGAATCCGTAGCAACCATCTTAACAGAACCTAGAAGCATGTCAAGATGTTTTATAATCATAAATTGCCACTTTGTCATACTAGGTGATATATCAATGGTATCCTAGGACCCCCTCCACCCTGGGGTGATTAACCCTTTAACTCCCATGAGTGACCAAGACAGAACTTCTCCTTACAATACCAATACAACATCAAGCAGACTGGTGATAAGAAAAACACAAAATGTCAGTCGGGACAATATAAGCTGATTCAATACCAAATTCCCCCTCCTAACATCATAGGAATTATGTGGCAGACAGTAAGGAGAATTTCTTATGAGATTTGAGAGTGAATCAGTTAATAAACTAGCAGAGTGACAGCAGCTACTATTTTACTTACTTACCTGCTGAAGTGTACTTCATGTTGAGCATGCGTTGACCAATGGTTGAATTACTGCTGTACACTGAAAACTGAACCATATAAAGTAACAGTAAGAAATGCATACTCTTTGAAACCAAGCTTTAACCCTCTACACC